TACAGACTAAAATTGTCTAGGAATGTGAAATTAAGTGAAAAAACAGCACATTTGTGGATCATAAAAATATTAGCACTTTTCTCAACTGAGGTCTGCACGATTTTGTTAATTACCTGTCTTAGCTCTGTATCTGAAATCACAGTCACTTAAAAGCACAGTGACAGGTTCTTAGCATTGTTGTTAGCAGACACACCCCTAGTAACTAAGGAGCTGATGGTTACTGAGGTTTAAATAAAATCAAAGTGCTTTAATTCTATTCCTCTGAGTGCACAGCAGCTTTACATTTTTTGAAGAAAAACATAATAAGTGAAATGGTGAAGGTTTGGGGACCATTCCATAATTTGACTTAAAAATAACAGTGTAATGCCTGAGGTTCTTCTTAGGGATTGGTCTTTCGCCATGACTTGTCTGAGCAAATAATTATGCCAGTTATAGATGAGATTTTGAAGAAACCTCTAATATGTTCCAAATCTGAGGCTTGCCTGTAGTTAGGCTGGGGGGAAAAAGGCAAAAAATCCAGGAGTCTGAACAGCATTAGTCTTTTAGTATTCATTACAAGCATTTGAAAAAGATGGGGGATTTAAGAAAAACTGCTGTCTTGCAATGATCATCTTGAGTCATGAGTTTGAAATACCCACATAGGAGGCAAAAAAATGTAAAAAGGAAACCATAAACTACAGGAATGTACTTCTTGTTCCCAAGCACAAGAATGAAGAGGGAATTGGATGGAACCGACACTATTATTCAGAATTACGCTATTGTAAGCCCAAATTAGTGCTCTGAAGGACCATTCATCACAATAAGCACTCCTTTCCTTTCCTCACCTGAGAAATGTCCCCTCTCTGAAGCACCGGATTTTGTGACGCTTGTTGTTGAAAATTCTTGACAACACAGACTTCCCCAGGACTGGAAGAATAACTCACCAGCCACCTCTGACCGATGTTAGGCTATTTTAGCTTTAGCAGACCAGAAAAACCAATCTATCAGACATCTATTATATCCAGCTATCTAAGAATTTTAAACAGTTTATAAGTGAGGCAATTAAGCATGTGTTTAGCTTCTGCACTTGTTCCTGCAGAGGTACCGAGAAGGCACAAGTCAGACATGCTGAGAAAATAAAACTACCAGCATGGGAAAGTGTATGGGAAAATAAAACCATTAGCATAAAGAAAGAAACCCTTCTGCACAGTTCAGTGGCCACTGAACAGATGCCCATGTTCAGGAGGTCTGAAACTCAATTTAGGGAGCCGCTAGCTGTCTCACTGGTCAGGACAACAGCAGCAGGCTCTAGGGAGACTTCTGAAGGTTTCCCAAGCAGCACCACTGGGCACATAGAGGGGGACATCAACAGTTCAGTGGAGAGGGTGCACACAAATCCTCCTGGTCTACTCAGCAACAATTCCCCCAGCAACCCAAAAAGCTCCAGTTGTCCTACTATTTTCCAAAACCTCAGAACTCAGCTTCTGCACTACACGTACCCTCCCTCCCGCCAAATTCTGCTTGGCTGTCTTGCATCAGGTGCTCTGTAGAGTTAATGCATAGATGTGATTTTAGCTCAGCACCCAATTCTCTAGGCAGGAAATGAGGATCCTCCAAAATCAAAATATGACAGAAGGTTGTAGCCCTTGGTAGCCAGTCACCAACAGACTGACTCAACCTTCAGGCCAGGTCACAGTGAGGCATCAGGAAAAGAGCGAAAAATACTGGATCCAAAAACATTAAGCAACGAGATATGAGGTATTTTTAATCTCTGCTTCTTCTCAAAAAGCAGCAGAAACCACACCAGGTACAGAAATATTTATATGCTAAACTAACACTCTCAGTGTGCAAGACATGAAGTCATTCCTGTCATGAACGAGAAAAACCTTGAATTCTTGCCAGGGAATCTGGACACCACAGTGGGACTTTAGGTGCCTGCAAATCTGGAACAACTGTTTGGAAATAAAACATTGTGTTTGACTTTGAACTCTCAAATCTCAGCCTTGCAGACTGCCTGTTTCTTGTGAGATCCTTCTGAAGCCATGAGCAAATTATTTTCCTTTACCCCTTGCCAAAGGTGCGCTATTTTGTGTAGGAGATCCTGCCCTAGCAGACTGAAACCAGCCTCTATAGCACAATGAAACAACATAGGCTGACTTCTCTGAATATTTTCATGTATTGTGGACAGTGGCTGTCTCAGGACTATACTATAACTTCCAGTGCAACAAAACACCTTGCATCTGGCAGGGTACTAGTGGACAGTCTGTTGCCAGACCATGTGAAGTGGGAATAAGTCATTGAAATCCACTTTAAACCTGATTACAGAATTAAAATCAAACATACAAACTCCTTACCCTCCCCCACTTTCCAAAGCGAAAAAAGAGAGAAAAGAAAACTGAAAAAAACCCCAAACAAAATATAATGAGATCTACCTGATGCATCATAATTTTTTCAAGTTGATACAAGGCATGGCTTCTGAACATCCTCTCCAGCTGTCTGGTTTGAGTGTTACTTTGACATGCTCTGCTCCTTGAATGTGACTCCTCTCTCCCTCTGTGCTGCTAATTATACACCTTCTTGGACAGCACATTGCATACAAAACATTACCAAAGTGGCTCCTGGCACATCATTTCTTTCCTCTCTTACCCTTCAGTTCAGTGATATCACTGTATTATGTCACTGTCTGTGTTACAAATGAACCAGTTGTCCAGACTATAGTACATTAAAGCAATGAGAAGGTTTTTTCCCTTCACTGGGCTTTAGCCTAATCTTGGCAAAAATGCAAGAACTGCAGCCAGTAATGCAAAAAAGTTAATTTATCTAGTGTTGGATATATAGAGAAAAGTGTAATAATAGGAGAAACACACCTTCTGATATCTCCTCAGAACACCCCTGCAGCCTCCAGTGACTTGTGCCAAGGGAATTCTTATGTCTGAGAGGGTGCCTGAGCATTTAATAACCTTCAATATATTTTTTCACTATGAATTTTCTAATTTTGTTGTGCTATTTAAACACCTTATTTCTAAATAAATTTCTTAGTGGTGCAACCCTCTCCAGTTTGTTATGAATTCTTGGAAACCATGTCCCAAAAGAAACAATTATCATACAAATATCTTGTTAACTCTAGTCTCCAGTTTTCCCTCGGGAGTTAATAAAGATTAAGCCTGACACATTCATATGACAGACATGGAACATGAGGTGCAGAGTTCATAATAAATCCCCTCCACACTGTTCATGATAGAAACCTCAGGACAGCTACTGTATTTTGAAAAATTAAGATGTGAAATGGAAGGGGAAGTTTAAAAGGAAAATGAGATGAACATGTTAGGAACAAAATAGGCCTAAGGAAAATAACACTGAGGCAAAAAGGGAGTCCCTTCCACTCCTGTTTCTATGACCCTATGGTTACTAGGTCATTATTCAAATTTGTTTCAGAAACAGTATAAATCTCCTAACGTCTTCGGTTTCAAAAGAAAAGTTCCGTATCTTACAAAGTTGCAACTTAAAAAAAAGACCAAAAATGGCAGAAATAAATAGTACCATCATCTGCTTGAAGTAGATTATAGTGAAATACAAGAAAACTTCAGTTTCCATCAGTATTTGCCACTAATACATTCAAGACATGCCTTACAAAGTAATTTACATTATATGAAAAAAAGGGTTATCTAAGAAAAGCTACTCACAATTCAAGTGACTCCTACTGATCTTTTTAAAATGGATAGTAAATGAATTGAATCAGTGTGTTTCGTGAATTCAGAGCACTGCCTGCAAGATCTACAAAGATGACAAAACAGTGCTAGATTGGGACTGTTGGGAAGGATTGAGACTTGTTTCTAATCCATCTGGGATTTAAAATAGCTCATGCAAATGTACAGTAGCACTTTTCAGCTAGTGATACATGAAAATTGATTATGTGTGAAAGTACATTGTTTCCAAAATCCTGCAAACATGTAAGTAATGAGATAAAATTCAAATTGACATAAATTTCAGTGTGTGAAAAAGACTGTTTTATTTAGCATAGGATTAAAAAAAACCAAATACATAATAATATTTAACAAGGTCTGAAGACATCTCATGCCTCCTAGGTCAAGACACACTATTTTTGAAATCAAAGAGCAATATTACACATCTCTCATCCACGTAATACTTCATCGCTAAGATGGAAAAGATCTTAAATTGAACCTACCCTTTAATTCACTTCTTGGCAGGTAGAGACTTGTTTTCTTGCGGCAAAATGTATTTTTACAGTATCTTGCAGAACTGTAACTCTGTCCTAAGTCACTTGTTTCTATTTACCTCTTCACATCCTTACTGCAGATACAATTACATACCTAACAGGTAATTTCCACCATGTTCAAGTGACTTAACACAGATTTCACCCCTTCCGAACCCACTGGGGTTTTGCTAGAAGTAGATGTACACGGCCTCACAAGAGGCCATTTTCCACAGCACTTTCTCTTCAAACAACTCTTCCTCCACTTTCCGCTTCCCGCTGCCACCAGGGTAGGTACTTTTCTCTCAGCCACATAAGCCATCGTCCCTTTCCAGCACTCTGAGTTGCGGAGACGGATAATCAACTCTCCCCTATCTGCCTTTGGGGGGTGTATCCCCGCATCCTTCAGGCTACCTACACCCCGCGAGGGATCCCATCACCTCCTTCTCCCACTAGGTGCTACCCACTGAGCGTGTTTACATCCCCCACCCCTGTGATTTCTCTTTTGGCTTTTAACAACGCGGCTCAGCCGGACTCCGGCAGGGCCTCTCTTCCAGCATTTATGGTACACCCGAGCACAGTCTCTTGTAGCCCCGAGTGCCCGCCGGCAGCCAAGAATCGGGAGCCAGAACCCAGGCGCTGCCCACAATCTCCGCTCTCCCGCGCCCCACGGAGGCGCGCGCCTGGAGCGGGAGGAGCGAGAAGGGAAGGGGAGGAGAAGGGCGGGATGAACCCGGCGCTCCGCCTCCCGCCCGCGTGCCCGCGCGCGCGCGCCCCCCGCTCCGTGACCCATTTCGCCGAACAAAGGATTTTCGCTGGAATCTCTCTCGGCGCCGGGACCTAAAATGGCGCCGGCGCGGCCGCCCCCGCCCCTTCCGCGGGCGCCATAGAGACGGGGCGGGCGGAGCGGCCGCTCCTCGGTGCCGCTCTCCGCGCGGGCGCGGCCCCGGCTCGCTGGTGCGGGCGGGAAGGCGCTGCCGCGTCATGGCGGGCGAGGGCGACTCTGAGCCGAGGAAGGTAATGGAGAGGGGAGGCGGAGAGGGCGAGAAGGAGGACGATGAGGAGGAGAATGAGGAAGTGCTGCGCGGGCACCCGTGTCTCTGCGGGAGTCCCGCGCTGGGGACATGGGAGGTTGTCGCAGAGCAGCCGTGACCCTCACACCCGCTGTTTTATCTCCAGAGGAAATAATTAGGGAACAATACACGGAAACCCATGGCAGACCTGAGGCTCTGTAGGGCCGAGTCGGTGGGGTGAGGGGTTGTGTGTGTGTTTGTTTCCCCCCGGACCCCCCCGTGGGAGTTTCTCTCTGTGGGCGAAACGCCGTCGTGACTCTCGAACCTCCTTAACGCCGGTGATTACAGTGGTTAGAGACATAACAAATGATTTCCAGTTCGGCAACAGGTGAAATGCTATTTTAAAAGAGTGCATCATGCTGCTCGGATGTAGCAGGGATACCTCCTTGGCCAACAACAGCGGCATATCCAGTGACTTCTTCCATGTAAGAGTACTTGAAATTGCTGTTTAGGAGATTCGACCAACATAGACCACATCCTTTCTATCTGGCGTGTACATAGGGATTATGTGGAAACAGCTGATAGTTTTCCACAGGGAACGTGGATAAGACTACCATACTTGCATACAAATCCAGCTGTTGTCAGATGCTTGTCATCCCTGTTACCACAGTTTTGTGATGACTTGTCTCAGAGATGTCAACCCTCCACGAACAGCTAATTGTAGTTCTCCATCTTTAAAATCCACTTTGACCCAGTAGAATACCTTTAAAAAAATAAACCATTCACCTTTGATGAATTTAGATACAGTTGCACACATGGCACTTAATACTCTAAGGATTTAAACACAACAGAACGAAGATGTATTCTTGCACCATCACTGACAAAAGAATGATAGCAGAAAGATGTTCAGATGTTACTGTGCTGCAGCCACTTTGACCCTGATTCGTATCATCTAGAGGCTTCTTTTTTTCAATGCAGTTTCTCACTCCTGCTTGTGGTGCCAGCCTGCATTTGCAAGGATGTTTGTCAGGTGGGAAATAGGAATTACATGCAGAAGCCAGAGTAGGCGTCTCTGAAATGAAAATCATACTTTTCAGTTCACAGTTGACTTTGTGAATGCCACATGTAATTGCCATTTGAGTGAAATAAAAGGTCAGTTTATAGATAGGAGACAGCATATGTAGTAGTTTGATTTTTTTTTTTTACCAGTAGGTTAATTAAGAAAATTACTCGTTACGTATAGAAGAATTTCTGTGCCCAGCCCCTGTCTGTACATAGGGTTAGGTTAAAATTTACTGGTTTATAAATGTTTTCATTCACTGTTCAGTATAAGGTTCTCTATTATATGCTCATTCTCTAGTAATTTCACTTTTTTTTAAAGCACATTTGCCTTTTCAGTTACTAAAATTACATGGCGTAACTAACTGTGTACTTGATTGTAACCTTATTTGTGTGTTGTGATGTAACAAAAATCCTGCATTCTTAAGGGTTTTCTCCCTTCCTTTTTTGGGGAATGTAAAGGGGGAAAATTAAGTAGTCATTTTATAATATTCAGTAGAAAGGATGGATCAACAGGTTTGTAGAAAATTATGTTGTAGTAGTTAGTAGTTCTTCCAAAACCATTCCTGATACAGCTGTGCTTGTTCACTTTTCCTCAGCTATAACTGTGCAAGCAGTAAATCCTCAACTGTATTTGGAAATACAGTCTATTTGACTACTAAAATAACAAGTCAGTTTTAGAATGGAGTTGGCATCATAGACTTCTACAAAAGTGATTTTTTTAAGTTTATGGTGTGTTTTTTGTTGTGTCTTACAGTCCTTTAAACTCTTGGGATTTCTTGATGTTCAAAGTGTCCCATGTGCACGAGAATCTGTGCTCTATGGCTCCCTGGGGTCTTTAGTTGTGGGTCTTGGACATTTTTTAGCAACTAGTAAGTACTTATTCCTTCTGGTTATGTATTTATTTGCAAGAGAAAAAATTCCTATTTGCTGTTAAGTGTTATTAATAATGGGCAGTGATCCAAGGCTTTTTTTCCTTTAACTTTTTGGAGGATTTTTATTTATTTTTTTTTTTTTTTTAGGTAGAGTTAGAAGATCTTGTGACTTTGCAGTTGGTGGCTTTATTTCCACAATGTTAGGATACTGGTATGTAAAATGCTTCTTCAGTTTTAACAGACATGTGTTGGCTGAACTGTACCACATGATCCCCATGTTTGTTTTCAGAAACAGTATTTCACACTGCTTTTGAAACTCCATTAAAAAACTTGCCTAGCGAAGCATCCTCTTCCTTCTCCCCAAGATATTTCTGTTTTTTAAAGGGAAACAGTTCAATGTGAGTGAATTTTTATGTTCATATATTTTTTAAAAACTTGCTATTGTTTCTTGAATCCTAAGAGCTCAAGCCACGCAGTTACTTCCATTTTTCTTAATTCTTTCTTTTTTTCCTTTGCATACCCCCTCCTAATTCCAAAGGCAGCATGCTGAATTTTACTAGCATTTTTATATGTGACTACAACGTTTCAACTGGCTGAATAAGTCTGATTTGATACTGTGACTCATATAAGGCAGGGAATCATGTTTTCTTTTCATCCCCCCCTCTAGGTTTTACTGCAGGTACAATTTGGCTCAACAAAGGATCCGGCAAAGAATGCTTAAAGAAGGAATGAAAAACAGAATGTTGTTTGAAGGCAGTTATCTTGATCCAGAAAAAAAACAAACTGGCAATGAAAGAAGCGATTCATAGGCTGCTGTGGAGGAGTTGTGGTCTAATACAGCTTTGGGAGAAGGTGGTCCAAAGATGTCAGTCTGCCTTGTAAACATGTGAGGTGTCTAAAACTGACAAATCATGGTTTTCCTGGCAAATCCGAGCAAGAAATTCATAGTGAATCTTTTAAGTCTGTACAAGCCTTGCTTTGTTTCATGTCTGTATGTATGTGTGTGTGTGACTGTGCACATAGTTAGGAATGACTTCCTGTGAAACATCTGGGAACTGATGTGTTCTGTTACAGAGAGGATTAACAGCAGTGATTTGGGACTGCTTTTAACTTCCATTGTAAACAGAGTGGTTCATTTTAGCACAGTTGTAATTACATCTCATTTACATACAGGAAAATATTTTCATCAGCTGTTCAGTAAGTGTATCTTCAGTGCTACTGTTAACAGTGCTGTTAGTAAAACACAAGTATTTAAACAGTAGACGAAGGCTTTGCTTGTGCAAGATGGGTGAGATCAGCGGCCTTTGTAAGATTTCAGCTGCAGGATAACCAGATAACTTACATACACTGTGAAGTTGAAGGATTTCCATGTTTGTTCTGTCTGTATGAAACTAAGAATAAAATCTGAATAAAATTCAGAAGCAATCTAAATTATGTAAATAAGTAATTTTTTTACTTGATTGAAAATCTTGCTATTTAAGACAATCCCTACAGCTGTGGAATAATAATGTACATTATTTGTAAGTACCAATGGTCAGTAGTTTGTTCTTGTGGTTTTTTTTAAAGGCGTGTTCTGCTTAACTATTTCACTGTACATTTTATGGTTAAAAGGAATATGACTATAATTTCAAGGAAACCATCTTATTTGGAAATACAGTTTAGGTCTAATTGAATATTGTTAAAAAGATGAGTGATGACATCATGTTCCTTGCTTCTGTCTGCAGGCTTGACACACTGTATTTATTTTTTCATAAAATGATTTATAGCCTATAATGCTGTAAGAATTTTTTGGTCTAAAGGCATTCACTGAGCAAAAGTAGTCCTTTCCCCCCATTCTGCACTTAATCTGAGAGAGTTTGTGATCTGTTGCTGACTGAGGTTGGTGGGGGAAGGTTTGAGACTCCAGATGTAAACAGCAGTATTGCTCTACTTATTTATTTGGAAAATATATGCAAGAGCACTAAGCAAACATGTTATTTACACTGAAAAAATTAAACTTTTACCCTCTGTGGATTGGCCTCATACAAGAAGAAAACAAACCTGCATAATCTAATTCTTTTTTTCCCCCCTCTATTCCTCTTGTTTCTTCTGGAGGAAAAAATAAAGATACATTTTACTGAGGACATTAATTCCAGTATTTTATATAAAAAGTGTTCAGAAGACTTCAGTTAGTGCAATGAAACACTTCCTGTCCTCACTGCAAAATCTGAACTCAGAAGTGAATTGGTAGCTAATTCAGGAAAGTGTTTCCCCTGGGTCTGTGCTGGGCAGGGGGCCAATGGGGAGGGAGGCTCCTTCCCTTTGGGATGGGAGGTGTTGCTTCATAAAGCCCTTAGAGCAGCAGTGGGAACTGAGCGAGCCATGAAGCAGGTCTTAGCAAGCTCCTGTTTTAATACATGGTTGAGTTCTCTCCTGTCTGACAGGAGAAAAGAAAGTGCAACCTAAGCAGGGGGTCTTTTGGCTGTGAGGTCATAGTTCAGCTTGGGGGAGTTTAGGCAACAAAAGCACAGGGATGAAAATTTACTCTTTGGAAAAGAGCAGTAGTAGAGAAAGAAGAGAATGGTGTTCTGTGCTGATGGGAAAGGAGGGAGCACGTGCATCATGGCATCCTTCAAAACACACAAGTACTGTGACTGATTAGGAGAAAAGAGAAGCGTTATGATACTCTGTAAATCAAAAAATCTGGGGAAAACTGCAGCATTAAATCCTCTCTGGTGTTAATTGGTGTTGGTTTAAGTTACTGCATTTAAGGATATTAGCTCAATAGCAGCTTAACTACAGTATTAGCAATTCTGGCCAGTAACTGTGAAATGCTAGATGTATTTGCATTGTGTAGATAACCAGTGTAATACTTCTGCTTCACTGTGCAGAATGTAAAATGAGCCTGCCAGATGTTGACAGAAAAATGGGGAAAGAGGCAATATGCAGAGGCAGCCTGGCCAACACGTTTGAGCTTCAGTATGTACTAAAACTTGAGGTGGAATTGAGCTAACTAAAAGTCGGGGCCTTTGCTGAATAGGAAAGGGTGGAGACATAAGACAAGGAAGCTGTGAGCAGGATTCAGTGTGAAAGGAGGGGCCTGGAACAGCAGAGGGAAGAATGCTTATGGCTAAACATGCAGGGGAAAATGTCTCGAATAATTCCTGAAAGTGCTGGCTAGGCTGCTTCCCTGCCAGCTGTGGAAAGTGAATTGAAAGTGACTGATGGGTTATCACATTGAAAAGGTGAGGGATGGGATAAAACAAAAAACTCTCAAAGCTACTAGTTGTAGGATACATAGATAAGAAAATAAAAATTACAGCAACTTTATAGAAGTAATTTTAACATTTGAAAACAATTACATAACTGGTTTTTAAAAATTAGTGAGCTGTTTTGCTGCTCATCCCTTACTGCTAATTTCTGAAATCTGAGTTATTGGTGGAAATACATACTAAGCCTCTGAATTTTATTTTCAGATGTGATCTGTAAGTGTTGCTGCTAATGACATGTGATAGTTTTTGCTTTCTGGATGTTCAGAATATTCCTTAAATTAAAACTTACCAGGCAGTTACTAGAAAGGAAGAGAAATAGTGATTTTGAAGATGCTTAGTTTTCAGCCCTCTGAATGAGCCATAAGAAGGGAGAGAATGAAGTACAGCAGCTTGAAACTGTAGAGCTGTTAAAATCCTGTTCCTTTTACTGACGGTTATGTCAGTTGGTCACTGCACAGTGACTGACAAGCACACTTAGTTTTTATCCCTGAAGTTAGTAAAATCCTTCCTTAAAAAGCAGCCTACAACACCAGCAAAATAAAGAAATGCGTTTATGGCCCCCATAGCTCCTCCACACCTTGTCTCTTCCTGTTCCTTGCAGTGGTGATACTCTTGGGAAAAGGTGTGTGCCAGCCTCCTCCGGCAGGAGCGCACTCGGGACACTTGTGCAAGGGCACCGTGTGTCCTCCAGGTCCTTCAGGAAGGAAAGTCCCTGTTGAGGCAACAGGGTGAAACGTGGCAATCCAAGGTTAATTGCCAACCCCACTGCCAGAGATGCACGTGAGCAGATTGACTGTGCTCTTCAGTACCTCTCACTGAAGCAAAGGTCTTGCCTCAGCCATTGACAGCTGCAACAGGCTCAAAACTCAGGAACTCTTTTGAAGGTGACAGCAGAGGCAATTACAGCTTGGTACATCCCAAACTCATAATTTACGTCTCTTTACTCAGGCAGTGATTTTGGGGAGGCATTGGCCCTCACTGCATTTTGCAGGCTTCCAGGCTATTCTGTGTGTGTCACAGACCCAAGCCCTCGGGTGCTGCAAAGGAAAGGTCATCTCCTGTCACTGAGTCTGGCTTTTGGTAGGTTGTGTTTTTTTTTTTTTTAAGGCCTGGAGGAAGCACGTTTGTTGTTTCTGGTGTAAGCAACCCAGGTAACAATGAAGTACTGTGTGAATGCAGTTGTAATGAGCTCCCAAGCGAAAGATTTTCTCCAACTTAGTAGACTAATTCCCATACTTCTTTAATTCCTGTTCAGGCATTTAGATCAAGAGCTAAGTGGTTACCAGTGAAAGTTTTTGCTGTGTTCCATTTAAAGTTTGAAACAAATATGTTGTTCTTGCCTTGAAAAAGTGATCAAACCAGAAGTTTTACAGTATATTCAGATATCAGGAAGATGATCCTTTGATGTTTTTTTTTTTTCCTAACTGAAGTACCAAGAATTTATTAAGTAACAGAAATGGAGCTGAGTTTTAATTAAGGTGACTCAAGGCCTTGGAATATATATATCCTTCTTACACTTAAAATGAAAATATTACACTATAAGCAAGTACGGCTGCTAAACCTTCAAATGGGGATGGGGCAGCAGGCTTATGAGGGGTAGAACTTTGGATGAGACAATTTGAGGAATACTCAGACCTTTGTTTGTGGCTAACAGCACCCTGCCTAAGACTGTTCACAGGCTCCCACTTTTTCACACGCACTTTGTTTCTTCTCTGCTTAGGTTCATAGTCTGCCTGAGAGCCATCCAGCAGAGAGCCTGTTCCTGCAGGAATAGGTCACGGCATCCTTATGTCTGCTTGTTTTAAAGATTAAGAGCAGTTTGTTCTGAGGCTATTTTAATCCTTCCAGCTTCTGTCATCTATCATGAGCAAGGCTGCGTCAGAATCTTCAACTTTCCTGAACATACCAGGAGCAGCCCACTGGCAGTACCTAAAATGTACTGTGGGAGCGAACAATTACCACTGCAGGGATCCTTTTCTTTAGGCTGGCCACATCTCCAAAAATATCCAGCCTGTATATTGTGCTGATCCTGTTTAACAGAGCCAAAGGTTCCCCCTCTTCCTGCTCTGGAGAGAAGGAAACACATGCTTTGCTTGTTGTTTAAACTTGTTTATTTTGTCAAATGCTCTAAAATAGAGCAGCAGGTGCGCTCTTGGCCAATGTGAGTTTTCTCCCTGGAAAACAGATCCTCATCTCCTGCTGATGGCAAATGGCTTGTGATCAACTCTGGTGGTCACGGTGTGCATTTATCCATGACACACCTTGGCCTTCAGTCCTGCATATACATATGTGACAGGTCTTTGGAGTTCACTTACAAGCTTTACGACTCTGGCTTATATTCCTGCTTTCTGTCATCCAGGTCAAGGGTTCTTACCACCTTTACCTTTGCCAGGTGGCAAAAAACAGTGAGAAAAATCTTCTTCCACCACCTCATCACTGTGACACTGCACAGATGCTGTGGAAACAGGATGAGAGATCCACCCAGCCCATCTGCCTGTTGCTCCTTGATCTGAACAAATTCACCATCCGGGTGTCCACAATCCCCGCCAACAGAGCATTTAGGGTATGTTACTCATGTGATTAAAGGGAAGCTAACATCCCCTTCCCTGTCAGAAAACATTCAGGCTCTGGCTGAGATAGTAGCAATATTGCTGAAGATGAAAAGAAAATAACAGGTTTATTACTGGGCAGATACATTACCACAAATGGCTGTTGCAGGAATCCTTCACAGAGCAAGTACAGAGGAAAAAAGCCAGCCAACAGCCTGTTCCTCAAAACAGAGGGGATAGATTTCAGGTCCCCCAAAGAAATCCGGAACTACCAGTGATTGTTACATGCTGGGCTTATAGTGCTTTCATCCAAGATATAAAGCCCTTGAGGGTTGCCCTGAGGCAGCACTGAGGAGGCCATGACAGAACTTGTTTGACTCGGTTTCTTAGCTCTGACAGTAGTATCCCAGTGCCATCTTCTTCAGTAACTGCCTACTAAGACTCCCAAATGGATGAAAAAAGCAAAAGCTCAGCCTTTTCTTCCTACACCTCACACAGTCCCCTTTAACCACTAGAGGGGGTAGAAGGCTTCCTACCCCCACTGACAAGCACAATGGTACTCCCCTTCCTAAAAGCCAGTCACCATTTATTTCTACTCACCATTTTCTGTATCACCATTCATCCTTCTGCT